CTACATTTGAAACATGAACTGCTAAATACTATCATTCTTCACCAAATACTGGATTGCACATAATTTGATAAATTCTAGATTTTGAAACCAATCTTAGTTTACAAGAAAAGTAAAATATGAAGTGCCAGTTGCAGACATCTATAAGGAAATGACCTATTGGTAAATAATTTATAAAATATACATGTAGATATATTACTATGGGTTAATTAGGGATTAAACAAATTGCATCTGAAACCAGAAAAAGCTGCATAATCCTGTAAGAGTAGTCTGAGGGAAAAATTCCTGTTGTGGTCACCAAGTCTGACTGTCCCTATAAAGCCTTCATTTTTTAGGATGAAAACTGAGCCAGCTGAGTATCAGGCAAGTCTTTTAGGGAAAATAAATTGTTTATTCTGAAAGGACTTAAGAGAACAAATGACTAAAGAAAAGGGACAGAAATAAAAGAATTTTTAAAAATTAAGGAAATTAACCAGGAAAGAAAAAAAGCATCATTCAAAAGAAATGACCAGACTTTCTGGAATACACAGATGTGATATAGAAACGGTTTACCTAAGTTTCATTTTAAGGTTTATGTTATCAAAAGCATGGCTGGTTCCAGGTTTATTGATCAAGTCGTTCTGGATAGCTCAGTTCTATGGTGATCTCATTTGCAGCCAAGCTTTAAAAGACTCATGTCTTTAAAAGACTCATGTCAGTCAATTTGATCTGAGGTATACTGCAGTTACCAACTTACTGTTTAAATAACATTTCGTTTTATCTAGAATTTTACTTTTACAAATACAATTCTAAACACATTAATTTTCACTTGAATAAATTAGTAAAAATTTTAGGATCAATTAGTTAATAATCCTGGATTTTTTCCTATTGTATTAAGTTCACTTGAATGATATCTGAATTCCTCACTAACAGTCTTGTAACCAAAATCAGGTTTATAAATATACAACAACTACAAGCTCAACATATGAATGAATTCCAGTGCATAGATCAAAATACAAAGATCACTTTTTACAGTGGTTAAATTACAGCCATATTATCTAAGCTACCCACCAAAAAATGTCCGTAAGCAGACAGAAGACCTGCAGAGGAAAGAGGAGTAAGTCATTCTGGCTTTCACTAGTGAGGGGATACCAACTTCCTCTCTGACTGTTGAAAAACCTTCCCAGTATCTCATGTGGTTTCATTCACTTCTTCAACAGAAATAGAGACCAAGGAATAAGACTCAGTTGGAAAAAAACAAAAGCAAAACATACACCCCCAACCCCCCTCAAAGCCTCACAAAATCCATTATGATATTAACAGCTAAACTGATTTTTCTTTGTGGCAATAGTAGATATTGCAGCCTGCCCAACTAGGTCATATACAGCAAAGATTATTTGCTCAGACAACATTTCAACTGTTTTCACCCTTCCTGGTGCAGGAGATGAAAACAAATCTTTGCTCACAACCCTCTTGTACCAGACACATGAGAAAAAACTCCTCATGTTATCTTTGGGCTGTTCTTAACTAAGATATAGAACCATCTCCAGAATATGTGCACACACTGCATGTGCATATTTCTGGGCTCTGGTAATTTCTCTCCATGAAATGGCTTTTGGTTGCCCTTCCTCAAAGATTTTCAATGACTTTTTCTTCTTCTCTCCCTTTTACTGGCTTCCCCAGTATCTCCTGAGATTTTTTTTTTTTTTGGTCTGATTTCTTCCTTGCTTATGAACCACCAACCTCAAGGGATTTTACTAGCAGTGACTAATATAAGCTTGAAACTTTAGCAAATACCACCTACTGCTGAATTCTAAAAAGCAAAGGTGTACAGAACAGCAAAAATTCTCTGGCAAAGTTGTAAGCAAATACAGTCTATGAAGTTCAATTACTTTCCACTGAAAAAAATTGGAAAGGCTTAAAAATGCTGGACAACATGAAATCTGCATCATACACATAAGAGGACTGCATTTGATTGTCTAAAGGAACAGTTAAAATACATATTTTCAGAAATATCCACGCAACACATCAACCTGCAAACTGCATTAGTGCCTTTATTGCTTCTGAAAGAAATTTATCTCAGTTTTTGATTTTAGTCTTTCTAAATACCTTACTAAGAAGCAGCCAAGGGGCAAATCTGCTCCTTCCCCCAAGTAGACATTGAGTTTATATTTCTACATGAAAAAAAATCAATAGCTGTTTTTAAAAGTTATTTGCGAATGTACAAGATGTTCAAGGCCATCCTACTTTTCCTCACCCTCACACCAACCATCTGCTCTCTAATGCTTCCAAATATTGAAAATGCTCCTTTAGTAACTATAATTTCTAACTTCAGTCATGTCTTGTGTTTCCTAGTGTTCCTGGCCAGGGAAGCGTAAAAATTCTTAGGAACAGGATCCTTATTAGACAGGAGTTAAGTGTCCCTACCAATCTTTGCTAGACAGGGGGAAAAAGCTGCAAAACCACAAAATCCAAACCCAGAAACAGAGACCTGTGGTGTTAAAGGATGGAGTAACAGAGGCCCACAGGGCAGTAGGATCTCTAGACTCTGACAGCCCAGATCATCCAGCATCTTATCTCATGTGTTAAACTTCATCACAATGACAGAATCAGCAAAGCAACGTTATTTTCCACACAGTGATAATTTCATGATGCTCTTATCCTTTGACTGTTACAATTATGAATTCATCTTTACCAACAATAGTGGCAAAAGAAGCAGTTTGCTATTCAAGGAGAGTGAATATGATGTAGCTTAAATCTTTGTTTTCTTTTCAATGGACATGACAGGGGGAATAAAATGTCCATTTAGATGCACAAATACATACAAAGATACACTTCTCTCTCTAGAGGCAACAATGATGCGAAGTATTAATTTGGTCTCCAAAATACTGTGAGTCACAAAAATGTCTGCTTGTATCTTCTAGGTCTTTCATTCATGGCTCAAGAAATGCAGGTAAATAATCACTGCTCCAGAGTCCCTAGATTTTCCTGAAATCCACTCTTGAGTTATTTGAGGAAAAAGCTAAACAATAATAAATGAACCCAGATGTTTATACCCTCTCTGTAAAGAGCTTTTCAGCATTTTAAAATCAGAAACTGACATTCATGAAAAAGATGTATTTAAGACAAGACCATGTATTGCTCTTAAAACCAAAGAGTTTACTGCTCTCTAGAGTAATTTTTCTTTTATTAGTATTTCTTCCCTCTTTAATTGAATTAAACAACAACAACAAAAAAAAGCAACCAAAATTATGAAGACCACCAGCACAGTGAAAAAAAGAAAATGTCTCCCAGGGTTTTCAGTTCTCTTCCCTCAGTGTTCTGGAGTCCAGATGTGGAAAGCCTAGTAGAGCTGAAAACATTTTTGGAGGGTGGAAAGAAAGTTTTGATGCTACTGCTGTAACCGTATTTTATCCAAACCAGACAACTGTCTTTCTTCATGAAGATTAAAAAGCCAAACACCAACACCCACCAAACCACACCTTTTATATATCCTTACTAAACAGTATTTATAATTGAGCCTGCTGGAAAAAACCCCACTCTGCATCTTCTTAGCACTTGGAAGCAAAGAAGGTCTTTACAAGGCCTTCATAACTCAGAGTAGAATATTTACTGTCTTCATCTTCTTTAAAATCCTGTTTGTCAGGTGTGTCAGTTTATTTTTAAGAGATGTATTTTTCCTGCTCACATATCAAGTAAACACATATTGATTTGCTGCAGCCATACCAGGTCACAGGATATGGAGGAATGTTCCCATATCTTACACAGCTACACCTGGAATATGGTGTTCAGCTAAGTGATGACAAGGGTGGTCAGTGAGGTGATGATAAAAGTCTATAAATAGCTTAAGAGGGTGAACTCTGAGGAGGGGGAAGCATTGGTTTAAGGTGGACTGAACAAGCCTGACTGGAAGAAACAAAAAGATGCCCTGACAGCCAGGGCCAGACATAAGCTGCTAAATAGGATCTCATACACAGTACGATTGCCAGCAGAGCGGTCTGGGCTTGGCCTTGAGTGCACCACAGACATATAATGAATTTACTATTCCAGATTAATTATTCTGGGAAATTTCCAAGCATATTTAAGCACTTCAACTGCTAAATTGGGCCCCAAGTTCAACAGTCCACCAAGAGGAGTCACACGATGGGTGTATTTAGAGCTACACTCGACACAGCACTGGAAACATGTAAAAGGAAATAAATCTGCCCAGAGAGGAAGATGGACACAAACCCTGTAAATCTGTCATACCTCTGTTTTCTGTAGTTCTAGGAAAACATGCATATGGGATTTGGGAAAGGTCTTTTTAATAAGGGTTAATTGGAGAAGTATGTCACACATGACTGAGTACCGTTTCAAATTACTGCTCATGCTGGCATAACTAAATTAGACAAATGACAGAATACCAAAATAGGGAATAGTCAATCTTCTTCCCTCCTACTTAATCTTTATATCTTCATTAGTCCCAAATATCAGCAATTACAGGTTTTCTGAAATTTGTTGCTTCTTTCAAAATATTACTATGACCATATCATAATATTCCCCAGAGATCCAATAGTTCTGTAAAATCTTTCTTCTGTTGTCAAATTACCAGTCAAGGCTTTCAAACTGCTGGATTCATTTATCTGGCTTATGTGATGTAAAAGTTCTGGATAAATAATATTGATATAGCCCTTTCTGAGCTTAAAAAAAAAAATCTGAAAAGGGAAAAATAATCAGTTAGTAAACCAGATTAGTTATTCCCATGAAAATCATTGTACTGTCTGTAACACTGTGTTACTCTAAAGTCAGGTCCCTAACCCCAGACCTGAAAAAGTCACTTCAATTTCTCTCTGCTGCCCAAGTTAACTGCAAGCATTTCCTGACGCTGAGAATGCAGGCAGAAAAAGGAAAAACGTCGACTTGAGAAAAGCACAGCTTCCAATCCCCACCCACCAGCTTCAGTCAAAGGGATGACTTCAGTCCCTTTCTTAACTAATCCTGTCACTGTAAAATCCTACAGTCATTCTTCCAACATAAAGGGAAAACGGACTCACTAGGAGGACCTAGACTCTTTCAGCTTGAACTGTTAACCAATGGTGGAAATGCAAGAATGCTGAAGTTGTGCCTTCAGAGCCAATAGAGTGGATTTGTGTGTCCCACATGACTGTGTTTCCCCTGTCTTTCACATGGGCAGTATTTAGTTCAATTCAGAACTGCAGATAGTATAGCGTGCAGAGCAGCAATGGGATGTCTGAGCACAAGTAGCTGACTTCCAGGCGACTTCAGGAAGCACATTTGTACATTTCTCCTGAATTATCTGGGATTCTGCACCCTTGACATTCTCCGACCCTCCCTGTCGCTGCAGAAGGAGACAGCGACCTGCACAGCACAACAAAACTGTGAGTACAGGCTCTATTTATTTTTATTTTCACCCAGAAAAGCAAATCTCTTAAAAATGTCAAAAATGCTATGTGCCCTAAATCAGCGACTGCTTTTCTTAGAAGATGAACAAGTATGTAAAGTGTTATTCAAATTCAGAAATATTTCTTGCATGTTTCAATAAAAGAAAGAGTAAAAAAAAAAAAGCAAAAGCGAGTTATCCTCCAGGGCAGTGCCTGCATGCACGCTGCATGACACACTGCTTCCTGACATAGCCAGCGTGCTGCTTTGTTCATAAAGAAAAACAAAGACAAAAAGCCCTACACACGTATGTTGTTCACTTTTATTTGTACTCTGTGTCTAATCAGGCCTGATCTGTCCCCAAGGGGAAAACATAAAGGCAAACTTTAACTCCGCCAGCAAGGGCAGCCCAGACTTTGCAGACATCTGACAGTTATTATAATTAGCTATGAAAGACAGGGAAGACACTTTGGGGCAAATAGCTCTTACATTTGGAACAATGAAGTCGAGCAAGGTTCCCATCCCACCCCTTCCACGGGGGGAGGGGGAGAGGGAAGGCAACGGGGGGAGTGTTAGGAAAGGGTTATGGCTGGACTGAAAACACACAACTAGTGTATAATATCTGGACTCGCTCAGCGTGAGGAGAGGCTTTTTGATAAGCAACTTTACCTCTAGATTGCAGTTTGCATTCACTCAGATTCCTGATGGGGTGGGAAAGGGTGTGGGTCTCTTTACGGTATAACGTCAGAAGGTCGGGGTGGAGGGGGACGAAGGGGGCAGAAAGAAGAGAATATCCATAGCCGGAGACATTGAAATTGTTTCCCAGAGCTTTACTGGCCAGATCTCCTCAAGCCCAAGTTGCTTTCTGGGCAAGATTTATGAGAGTTCTCAAACAGAAGCAACAGACAAAGCAGCGCTTTTTTTCTTCTTCCTCGGAAAAGAAATTCAACCCAAACGAATAACCGTATAATAAACAGCACTGATTTGTATTTTTGCTCTTTTTTTTCCCCCCATATGCTTGTAAGATCTTTAAAAAGGTCTTTCCCCCCTGCCTGCACGATCCTTCCCACCCCCCTTCCCTACCAAAAGTTAGATTCTGAAAACTACGATCAGAAGGGAAAAACCAAAGACAATAGAAATCTGACTCGGTCCTGGCTGGGCTGGATCTCTAATAATGCATGAAGTGAAAACAGTTTCTAAGTGAAAGATGAGCAGACTTCTTTTTAAAAAAAAATAAAAAAATTAAGTGCAATAAGGAGAAATTGTTGAAAGACTCCAGACGCTACTAATTATGGCTTAAATAAATCTTCCTGGACAGATGTTTGCTTGCTCCCACTGCAGGGAAAGGAACGTTAAAAGAAGCATTTTTAAAAAAAGGATTTGACATGAATCTCCTACATATGTTTTTTTTTTGGGTTTTTTTTTTTTTTTTTTTTTTAAAAAAACTTTTTTTTTTTTTTTTTCCCCCCCTT